GATTTATCCAGCTGCGTCTGGTTTGTGTTTGGCTGCTCTGCTCAGCTCCTTCCCGCTGCTGTCCTTGAGGGTGAACCTGTTGTGCCCCTGTGGCGAGATGTTCTGCTCCTGGACTAGCTGGTTGGATCTATCCTCTACACTCTCTGCAGGGATTGAAGCTGCAGGATTATACCCCAGGCGTGTATGCCAGGCCTGAGCTGTGCCAGGAGGGGTCAAGGTGAAGTAGGGGGAAGAGGAAGCTCTGCCACACACTCACCGGACCTGAGTAGGACTGGCTCTGGGGGTTCCTGGACGCGGCAGAAATTACTACTAGGCGGGCGGGGTGGGGAGGTACTGTGGAGTGGTGGGGGGCGGCCCAAGGGGCTGGGAGAGGGTCCGGCCTACACTGCGCCTGGGATGGGACTGGTCCCACCGCCGCAGGGTAGCAGGAAGCTCTCTTCACACTCACCGGACCTGGGCTAGGACTGGGTCTCAAAAATTATGTATTTAAAAGTCATTGAGATAATAGAATGTAGATTTGATCGCTGAATGTGGAAAATTTAAAGAGGAAGTCGTTAAAAATAACTGTAATTTCTGTTTGGACTGGTGAATGGAATGAATATCTCAGTAGTTTTCCTCTAAATTTGGGAATATGAAAAGGTGCTCAGGTTGGTGAGCAAGAATGTTGAGCTTTTGATATAGTAAGTGAAAGGTTCCTGTTCTGATGAAGTGATCTCACAGGAAATTCTGTACAAAAGCTCAGGCAATAGGTTTGGTGTGGAGATAACACATACATGAGTGTATAGTTTACAGGATTAACCAGGGAGGCGAATAGAGTGAGGCCCACACAGATTGAAGAAATTTTTCTGGGAAACATCAGCATTTAGTGGGATTGATGGAGGGGAAAGGAGCAGGAAGAATCAGCAAAGATCAAAAAGAAATAGTTTTAGGGAGAAGAGACTCAAAAAAAATTGGTTGGCATACAAAATATATAAGAAGAATATTCAAGACTATTAAATATGGTCAGTAGGAAGAGTGATGATAATAGACCAATTTCAGTGGAGTAGAGGTGAAGCCCTGCTTATAGCAAGTTGAAGTGTGAATGAGAGGAACAATGGGAAAATCAGGCCTTTTAGGCCTTATTTCTTCTTCCTGCTCCAGACTCAGATAACTGACTGCTGTGTTCCACACAGTTCTCAATGTTTCAGGGTGAGGACAGGGAGATGATGGACAAAAAAAAAGGACAAGTGTAGGGATTACAGAAAAAATTGAGGCCGTGTGGAGTCCTCTTTCCTGGTGGGAAGTAAATAAGTAAGGAAGAGGAAGAAGAGGACAGTGTTCCAGTGGCTGCAGCATGTTTATTTATATACTTGGGAAGTTGAATACCATGTGAAACATCGCTGCTTACCAGCTTATCCACAGGCTTCTCTCAGGTTGCTGTCTTCTCTTCTTGAAACTAGAGTAGTTTATTCATGTGACTTGCCTCAGGCACTGTGTCCTTGAGACTGGCCTTCTTTTAGTCTCCCATGTGATCAGTCTCCAGCTTCAGCTGCTCCCCACATCTTCCCCTTTTCTGTTTTATAGTTGTAAGTGACAGTTGAGGTTAGATGAGCTGTGTTTGGGGGACTCTGTAGGAGACCTTCTTCTTCTCAAATCCTTTCTGTTCTCTTGGGGTTATAACTTGTCCTGTAAGTTCTATTAAATGTAGGTAAAAGTGGCTGTGGCTCCATAGGTATTGGTGGCTTGTTTTAATTCTTTAAGGGTTTTAAAAGATATGTCTTTTTGAAGATGTGTGACCTGTCTCAGATTATTAGGGATTTGGAGTTCTGCAGCAGGGTACATATGTTGAAATCCATCCAAGGGCTCCTTTGCCTGTCTGGCTTCTTTTAACACCAGTTGCAAGAGAGAAAGAGAGGATGACTATACACCATGAGAGGTGGAAGTTTTGACCTGTGCATAGCAAAGTTTCTCTGAGCTGAAGAGGAAGCTGCCACTTGTGACAACGTTAATGTTGTCTGTTTTACATTGGGCAGCTGTGAAACTAAAGCTTCAGCAAAGCACTCTTCTAGTGGGGAACAATCCTTTTTGCCCTCCACCATTTCTTCTTTATCTGACTGAGCAAAGCTAGAGTATTGAAGTTCCATCAGTGGGACTGTTGCCTTATTATTTCTTTTCTGTTGAGATCTTGGTTTTAGAATAGTGATCCAAACAGAATCCCCTCTGGTCATCTCAGCAGGCACATGAATATCAAGACACTCTGATCCATGTCCACAAATAAAAACTAAATATGACAATCCATAATAGAATGAGGATTTGTATAAACATTTGATATTCTTGAGAACTTACTTGCCGTATGCATAACACTTAATAAAATCATTACATCTTTCTGTATTTCGTTCCTCTTAAGTCTATTTCTCTTTGACTTCTCTGGCCTATTTTTCTCTTTGGCTTTTCTTTTCTTTTTTGAATTTAGTACAGGGTCTACAGGGTGTACAGGGTCTCACTACATAGATTGGACTCATAGTTATGCTCCTGTTTTTTAACCTCCTAAGCGCTGGGATTATAGGCGCACTCACAGTCTCAACATTCCCCGGGGGCAGGGCCAGCGTGGCACAGATCACTGTGCTCTGCCTAAACAGGCCCTTTAATCTGCTGCGCTAGCTGGCCAGCCCTCTCTTTGGCTTTTCTTAAGCCTATTTTTCTCTTTACCTTCTCTTAAGCCTATTTCACACTTTAGCTTCTCTTAAGCTTGTTTCTCTCTTTAGCGACTCTTAAGCCTATTTCTCTCTTTAGCGTCTCTTAAGCCTATTTCTCTCTTGGTGTGCACAGAGCTAGAAGTCTCCTCTTACCTGTTATCTGATGTGCCGGAGCCAGAACGGCAGGCCTGGGGATTGAACCTTTGACGCCTGCGCCTGCTTGCAGGTGCTTTAATCTGCTGAGCTATTTGCCCAGCCCTACAACTGCAGTCTGAACTCACCATTTGCTACTCTTTTCTCTCTGGCACTCTTATTTAACATACTACTGTAATTATCATATTTATTTTTGCCTCTGTAACTAGAATGTATGCTGCATAAGATCACAAAACTTTTTCTGTTTTGAGTTCACTACTAAATACCAGCTACTAAGACTACTGTCTGCCAACAGAAGCTTAGTAAATATTTTAATAAATCCCTGTATGTTAAGACAGTTAAATCTAGAATCTGAAGCACAGTGACTGGGATTGGAGAAGCCCTGTTTTTATTGTATATCCTGTTCTATTTTAATATTTTATGCAGATGTATTCATTATTTTGTAATACTAATTTTAGAACTGTCTAAAGTGAACAATAAGAATTAAAAGCTAATAAATATAATGGAGGAGGAAATGCTTCAATAAATGAAACATTTTGTGGGAAAACCATAAGTATATACATGATAACTTTCAGCCAGAGAAACACCAAATTTAATAAATATTTAAATGTAACAGGCCAGGTGTCTTGGCACATCCTGTGATTCCACTACTATGGAGGCTAAGTCAGGAGGCTCACTCTGAGTAGTTCAAGGCCTCCCTGGGCTACACAGTAAGACCTTGTCTCATAAAACCGAAAAAAGAAAAAAATTTAAAAGGAGAAGCCATTAAAATATTATAAGAAACAACCTTCTGCTGTAGAAAGATGCATTAAGAATAGTAAAAAAACAAAGGAAGTATCTGATTATAAAAGTATTCACATACAAAATTAAAGATCAATCAACAGTGTAGCAAAGACATGTCATTTAAATATCCAATTCTTGAAAATTGGTTTGAAAAAGTACAAAAGTAGAGAAGATAAGTGTATCGTAGAAGCAATAGCAGTGACTGTTAAATGAATAAAATGTTCAGTTTTAATCAAAGAAATGCAAGTGAGATACCAATTTTTAACCTCTTACACTGTTGTAGAATATCCAGTGTTTAAAAGATTATGTAGGAAAACAGGAATACTTGTACATAACTAGAGATGTATTAACTGTTCTGAATACGCCAATTAAAGTTGTATATACTGCTGCATCAGGAAATGTACATTATGAGAATACTTAGAAAGTTTCTAAAGTTGCCTAGTAGTAAAGTTATCAAATTGATTTTTATGTTATTGAAGAATTGGAATGAAATATCCAGGAATTTCATTCCTATTTTTCTTAAATTTTAATCACTTCTGAACCACTTCTCTGTTTTGTTGTATTAGAGGACCCTCATAATTATTTATTTAAAATTTTTATTAAATTCACTTTTTATTTTAGCCTGTTCTAATGTATTATACCAGAAAAAACATGTATTTGTGCCAGTTATATCTTTTCTATATACACATGTGGTAATTAAAGAAAATATTCATATCTGTTTAACACATAGAATATTATGTATCATTAATAGTTTTTGTACTATATGTGACAAACTTGGTTAATTGTTTATCCATATCATGCAGCACTTAAAAATGATGATGTGGGTATATATTTTCTGACTAAAAAAGACGTTATTTTGAATATGTGAAAAAGAGATACCAAAACAGTATATATGTGTATAAAAACTCTATATATGTGTTTTTATAATCATAGATTTATATTGTAATAAATGTTTAGGTACCTAGAATTCTATACATTAAAATATTAACAGTTAAATTGGCTCAGTGACATAATTGTGGGTATTTTTTAAACTTAATTTTTCTATATATTTTAATTTTAAACTTTTTAAAATTTTTTATTTTTTGGTGGAACTGGGGATTAAACTCAGGCCCTTGCGCTTGCCAGGCAAGCGCTTATTCTACTGAGCCATCTCCCCGGCCCCTAATTTTAAACTATTAATGAGCATATTTTTCTAATGTATTAAAAATTAAAGAAGTATACATTTTCTAACAGTTTAGGACATACTTTCCTAAAAATACACTTGTAAAAGATCTTACAGATTATAGGTTAATTTGAGTTCATTTTCTAAATATTTTGGTCTTTTTCTTCACCAATATTTATTTTCACTCCTTGTTTCAATACCATTTCATTTTGTTCTGCTTAAAACAGGCTATTCAGAAAGGAAATACAGAAGTGGCAAGAATACATGCTGAAAATGCAATCCGTCAGAAAAACCAAGCAATAAATTTTTTGAGAATGAGTGCTAGAGTTGATGCTGTGGCTGCCAGAGTTCAAACTGCAGTAACAATGGGCAAGGTAAAGTTGTTGGGTTTTTTTTTGTTTGTTTTGTTTTTTTTACAGAACTGGGGATTGACTCAGGCCCTTGCATTTGCCAGGCAAGTGCTTATTCTACTGAGCTATCTCCCTGCTCCCTGGCCCCCTAGGTAAAGTTTAATATCTGTAAATATTAGAAATTCTGCTGCAGGGAAAAAGGAATTCTTTTATAATTTTGGTGAGAATGCATACTACAATCACTATGGGAATCAGTATGGAGAGTCTGCGAAAAACTAAAAATAGAAATTCTGCTTGAGCCAGCTATACTTCTTCTGGTTATCGTCCTAAAAGAGTTAAAGTCATCATATTACAGTGATACATGCTTATCCATTTTTAGAATAGCAGCATTTACATTAGCTAAGTTATGGAAGTCACCTGTATAGCCATCAACAGATGAGTGGATAAAGAAAGTGTGTTACATATACACAGTGGAATACTACTCAGATGATAAAGAAGATAAATTAGAGTTATATGTAGGAAATAAATCAGACATAGAAACTTAAATATCACATGGTTTCTCTTTGAAAAACTAGAAATAATTTAAACATCATTATAAAGGAGATATGGTGTAAAACGGGAGGTAGACATTTTGGAGATGGGAAATGAGATCTGGAAAGAGAGAGGAGGATGGAAGGGAAGGGGATTAATATGATCAAGGTGTGATACATAAATGTTCCTATTCCCCAGAAGAATGTAATTTTGTATTGCAAACATATTAACGAGGTTTAATGAGAGTAGTACACGTTGTCAAATAGAAATTCAATCTATTGCAGGGTGTTGTAGGGTGCTTGTAAATGTGTTCAAGGATAAGAATCCAGTAGTCAAAATGCTTAGTGTGGAAAACAGTTTTGGAAGTGGATTTTTGAAGTGAAGTCAGATTACTTTTCTTCTAATGAAGTGAACTGTCCAATATATAAGAATATTAGGTCATTTAAACCAGATTGCATTATGTTTTTGTTGTTAAGCAAAAGATAGACTGATTTTGTAAGTTGAATGATAATGTATTGAATAAGTACAAAGATTTTTGCGTTACTTACAATATAGCATTATAAATTTTTTATACCCCAAATAGGTAACAAAGTCCATGGCAGGTGTAGTGAAGTCTATGGATGCTACATTGAGGAGTATGAACCTTGAAAAGGTAAAAAAAAAAAGAGGGGAGGAATTACTTGATATCCATGTATCTTTTAAGTGTAAACTTTTCTTATGACCCATATTTTACAGATTTCTGCATTGATGGACAAATTTGAACACCAATTTGAAACTCTGGATGTTCAAACACAGCAAATGGAAGATACAATGAGTAGCACTACAACCCTAACAACTCCACAAGTAAGATGATCTTATCTCCTTAGAATAACTTCTTAAAGTCATTTGATTTCAAAATATAATGGTTTTGTGCATTTAAGTCTTCTTTGTATTGCTAGATAAATAGAGTCCCACAGTGGAGTTAGGAATTTACTGCTCTGCCCTTAGATTCTTCAGGAGGCATTGAAGACTATATTTCCTAACCTGATTTGGAGTTCTGAGAATTATACTGAATCACATATTTAGATTTTAGAGCATGGTTCCATCTGATTGCAAATAGTGTTTGTTTATTAATTAAAATGCATTTTAATAAACACTTTGAACCTGTACACATTAATATAGTAATATGTTTTGATCATATATACATTGTAGAGTGTTTAAATCAGACTAACCATACATATCTCTTTAAACATCAGTTCTTTATGTGAAAGCTTTCAAAATTATTTCTTCTGGCTTTTTGAAATATACAGAAAATTGCTGCTTTGTGTAATTACCCTATTATGTAATTGGATAGTAGAACTTCTTTTTTAAAATTTAATTTTATTTTGAAGAGTAAAAGCAAAACAAGAACAAAAATCAGAAACAGAGAGAAACAGGGCAACATACAACAATATATATGTTACAGATTTTCAAACCAAGAATAGCTGATTAATAGTGGTTGATATATTATATATTTTATTGTCAAATCTGTTGCTCAGATTAGCAGATATAGTTAGTAAGATTGAACATGTGTTTAGATATTACCACTTGCTTTCAAGAAACCTTAAATTTTTATTCTTGTCCCTTTTCTTTTAACTTTTTTAAAAGTTGTTTTAAAGAAGGTATAGTAATAATTGATATGACATTAGAAATGGTACACATTTAGAAGACCAAGGGGCTAGGAGTTTGGCTCAGCAGTGCGATGCTTGCCTAGCAAGCTGGAAGCCCTTGGTTCAGTCCTCGGCACCACCGCCACCACCAACAACAAAAAAATAGAAGACCAAGGTGTCAGGTATTCAAGTATGGTTTTTATATTACAAGTTGCTGTCCTCGATGTAGTTGCTTAGATCTCAGCTATCAGCATACAGAGTTAGTCAAGGTGAAAATTTTACACATTACCTGCTATTTTCAAAAGACTGATAGAGATTTTCAGTACAGTCACCTTAGTCATCCTGTACATATTTGCATGTTTTTCCCCTACCTGTTTTCTTATCTTTTCTCTTTTCTCTCTTCACTGTTTAATCGTTAAGTTCCCTTTCTTCTGTTTTACTCTATCTGTTATACCTTTCAAGTTTTATTTCTTCATTTTGGTTCTTACACTAAGGAGACAGTACGATATTGACATATGTGGGTCTGGCTTATTTCACTTATGAGTATAGCTTCTAGTTGTATCCACTTACTTATGAAGCTTTCTAGTTTATCTTTCTTTATAGCTGAATAATACTCCGCTGTATAAAAATAGCACATTTTTTTCATCCATTCCTCATTTTAGTTACTTCCAAGATTTGGCTATGACAAATTGTGCGGCCAGCCAAATAGCTCAGCGGATTAAAGCACCTGCAAGTAGGCACAAGGGCCAGCAGTTTGATCCCTAGTCCTGCCATGCTGGCCTCGCCCCTGGCGTGTGCTGATAGTGCGATTGAGACTGGGCATAGTGGTGCACGCCTGTAATCCCAGCACTTGGGAGGCTGTAAATAGGAGATTCACTATGAGTCTGACCTAGTAGTGAGACCTTGAACACCCTATAGACCGTTCCCTAAAATCAGAAAAAAAAATTGTGCTGCTATAAATATAGGTGCACATATATTATTGGGGTATGATGTTTTCAGTTCTTTTGGGAAAAGTCCCAGAAGGTGAGACTTCTTGCTTTACAATATTTGTTGAATATTCTTGAATTAAGTGGACTTCCAAACTTATACACCAAGAAGTCCCTGTGTGTGTTTAAATATATAATATATATACACACATACACACCAAAGCACATATATGTTCGCATTGTGCATTATAAAAATAAAAACTTTAAATGTCTAGAATTAGAATGGATAAATAAAATTGAGTATTTCTACAATGCAACATATAAAAGGAGCTAAAGTGAATGAAATAGACATCTACATATCAATAAAATTAAATATTAAAAGTTGAATAAAGTAAAGCAAGTTACAGAATAATGCAGCATAGTACCACTTACATTTTCACAGCACAAAAAATGTCTTTTATAAATTTAATTTATTTATCTTTTTGTGGTACGAAGGATCAAACTTGGGATCTTGTACTTACCTGGCAGGTGGTTATTCTGCTGAGCTATAGCCCCAGCCTGAAAATACCTTTTTAGATATCAAGTAAAAATGACAAACATGATAATGTACAGGGTTATATGGTCTATTTTCAGAAGTTTTTCTGTATTTTGGAAAAGTTTTTGAAGTGAACAATAGAGAATTAAAACTTAGGTTGAGAAAAAGGCTAGTGAGTTGCTTAAAATCACATCTGATGGGCAGATTTATGACCATATTTTAGAAGTTCCTCTTTCATTTTTAAAATATCTTGAACAACTAAGTTGATTTTTTTGACTAATCAGACTCTATTTCCTGAAAATTTCCATGTCTTAATAAACATCTCAGTATAATTTTCCCTTAGTGCCCATGGAGAATTAGTTCTGGGACTCCCAATGCATAGTAAAAACCTGAAGATGCTCAAATCATTTTGATAAAATGTAGTGTTTTGTATGTAATGCATGTACATCCTCAAATGAAATTTAAATCATCTTTAAATTACTTATAATCCCTACTATGTAAAAGATGTAAATAGTTATTAAACTGCATTCATTAAGGAATAACAGGGAAAAAAGGTATGTACATGTTCCTGACCGATGCGATTTTTCTCCAAGTAGTTTTGATCTGTGGTTGGTTGAATATGTGATACAGAACTTATAGGTTATGGAGAGCCATGTGTAGTTATATTTTATTCATCTCTAGATGTTTTTAAAATGTATTATCTATAATTTCAGGTGTGCACCAAATAAAAAAGAGGGGCCCAGAGAAATAACGCAGTAGAATAAGTGCTTGCCTGGCAAGCGCAGGGTCCTGAGTTCAATCCCCAGTACCACAAAAAACAAACAAACAAACAAAAACAAAAAAATAGAAGAAAGAATTGTCGCAATATTCTATCATAAACTTTAAATCGATTGTAGTTTAACTAAAAGCAATGTAATAACAGCCTTATGAATTGGGTCATTCCCTTATTCAGAGAGCTGTGTTACTCAGACATTCAAATAATATGAGTCTCAATGCTAATATTTTTACATAGTCTCATAGTATAAGGCTTGAAAACTTAATATAACTCAGAAAAAAAAGTAATATGCTAGAATAATTCAGCTTTGTCTGGTGGTGAGATAAATATTTTCTAAAAACTTTTTTTCAAATTTATATATCCCATTTTAAAGCTGAATCAGAAACCAAACTACCCAAAAAGCAAATGTTATTAGAATATAATTTTTTTGTATTCTTATTCTAGAACCAAGTGGATATGCTGCTTCAAGAAATGGCGGATGAAGCTGGGTAAGGAGTTATTCTAGAACTTTTGAATAGTCTTGATATAATATCTCCATGTTTTACAATTCTTTAATGTGGATGGAAATATTTATCTTTACCAGAGATGGTCAGAATTAGGTTTCTGATTTAAGCATTAATGTTTCAATGGCCTTTTAATAGTCATCCATTTCATTGTCATGCTTACAAAAATGTGACTTATTCACATCATTTAGTATTTTATTAAAATCTCTAGAGATAGACTAATTTAGTGTGTGATAATATGAAATGCAGGAAAGTATCAAGAGACAAAGTGTTTAAGAATTTACTCACAATCTACTATGTGCAATATATACAAAATTCATAAAAACAACCTCACAAGAAAGTGCTATCATCAAGCCATTGATTCATAAGTCCAGTTTGTGTCTTCCAAACTGACCAATATATGCAATATGTCCAGGAGATTCAAAAGACAGCAACATTGCAGATGGTCCTTTCTTTTTCAAAGTAAATAATCAACACTTTTGTACTGCTATTCAAAATAATATGTGTGATATGGCTTCTTTGATTTAGAACTTCATGTTTTGTGGTAGTGATTTGACAGTGCTATCTGGTAAAATGAAAGATGCAGTAATCAAATTTATAATAATTTTTATTGCTTTCTTTGTATTTAGTGTAAGGTCTGCAGAGTCTCACTACATAGATCAGACTTGTAATGATCCTCCTTTTTTAGCCTCCCAAGTGCTGGGATTACAGGCGCATGCCACCACGCCCAGTCTCAATCACATGGCACGCCAGTGATCAAACCCCAGTCCCTGTGCTCTTCCTACGCAGGCATTTTAGTCCACTGAGCTATATGGCCGGCCCTTTCTTGCTTTTTTAATGATATATTATTTTATGGAGAAAAGGTAAAACAAACTTTCATAACAAATAATAGAAGTTTAAGTAGTAGTCAATACATTATATGTTGTCATCTTTAAAGTAGTTGCTTAGGGTACAAGATATGGGCATAAAAATTTATCCATTCAATATCAACACATATCTTCCTCTTTAGTGAACTAAGAGAGACTAATAGTATAACTGACTTACATTTTTTCCCATTTCACTACTGTCCTTTCCTCTTTCACCTATCCTACTTCCTTTTGCCTTTTGACCAAAATTTCTTCCCATTTTACAGTATCTATTATACACTTTCAGTTTCTCACACCAGGGAAACAAGATTTATTTCACTTATGAGTATGATCTCAAGTTGTCTCCATTTACTTATAAAAGTCTCAGTTTTCCTTCCTTATGGCTGAGCAGTACGCAATTATATAAAAGTACCACAACTTTTTTATCTATTCTTCAGTTGGTGGGCATTTGTATTCTTTGCAAGATTTAGATATTATAAATTGTATTGCTATAAACATGGGTGCATATATATATATCATTGTGGTATGATGTTTTCAATTCTTCTGGGATACATGTATTAATACTCATTTATACTAATTATTTTAAAATTATTTTTAGGCTTGATCTCAATATGGAACTACCACAGGGTCAGACAGGTTCTGTTGGCACAAGTGTTGCTTCAATTGAGCAGGTAGATGTTGGATTTTATTTTGATTTTATGCACTTAATATGTATTTAAATAACTTATATAAGTTATATTTATGTAAGTTAAATACATTTATGTTAATATAGAAGAAAATACATATTTATATTTTTCTTTCATATAAGGTTTTTTAACTATATCTTGATAAAATAGCAGAATGTGATTAGCTATTACAATAAATAGTACTACCTGTCCATGTGCACACTTATTTGTAGAATGATTTAGATTTCCTTCAGATCTTCTGCTCTATTAAGTTCTCTATTTCTTTTGATTGTTTTGTTTAGTAAAATTCTGTATTGCTTCTAATTTATTTACTTTTCTCTTTAAGTAAAAAAATGAGCTTATAATGTTATTAATGTGAATTCTTAGAGATTATAAATCTTATTTAAATGTGAGATATTTGAAACATTGATGATTTTCATTTTTCACAATTTGATGTTGTAAAATTTGCTTTCTTTAGGATGAACTGTCACAGAGACTTGCTCGTCTTCGTGATCAAGTATAATTGAAAGAACTGGTGCTTCTATTTTCTTCACTTGTTGAAATATTCTTCTTTGTGTGTATATATGGATAAGTTGAACCCCATTTACACTAAAATCTCTATATGCCAAAATGCTTAGACTATTTGTATACAATGCTTGGTCTTGCTGTAATTTCCAACATTTTTTTTCCAGGTAGTTTCCACATGGGAAGTTTTTACAGTTCTGTATATTATGTGTAAAAGTGTGAAGGGCATATTTTTGTAGTTACCTTTGGCAAAACTGGCATTACTTTATTGTACATTAAACATCGTCCTCAAATATTAGACCAAACATGTAGCATCAAGTACTTCTAGGTAAAGTAGTTTTTACAGAATGAAGTATAGAATAAAGGTTTTCAACTTTTCTTAATTTAGTCATATTTAATCTTTGTAATGACGAGTACTTCATAAACGTAAAAGCAGAGAAAATGTGTTTATTTAATATGGTTTAATTTGTTTACATAGCCAGAGAACCTTATTTAGTGTCACACTATTTTCTGTGTTTTGTTTTGTGTCCAAACAGAAGCACAGTTGACCTTTAATGTGTTCTTCAACTCTTAAACTTTGCCATTAAATTTTTAACCCCTTAATTTAATTACTATTTGAATTTATTAAACTTTAAAAATTTTTCATTGATAATTTTCCTATCTAACTAGAAAATTTAGTAATATTAAATCAAGAAATTAAGGTTTGCCTTTTGGGATGCTGAGGCAGCAGGATCATTGCAAGATTGAGACCAGCCTAGGCTGCAAAGTGAGCTCAAGGCTGGCCTGCACTGCATAGTCAGACCCTGTCTCAAAAAAAAGAAAAAGAAATTAAGGTTTACTCATTTCCTAATTTTTAGTTTGCTAAATATAATTAATCTAACAAGTCATTTGTGGGAAAATGGTTGCATATTAAGATCGTAATGTTAAGTGAAATATATTAGACATACAAGTTTAAATATCATATGGTTTCTATTATATAAGAAAATAAAAATATAAAGGATAATAGAAAATAGGAAGATAGATCTTTTGCAAAATAACAAGGGACAAAGAGGTAGGGAGGATGGGTGATGAAAAAAGAGTATGTGTTCTGTTTATGTGCTAGCTCCTCACAAGGACTATAATCGTGTTCTACAAACAGGTACTAATAAAACAAGAATAAAAAACATAATCTGACTTTTCGTACTTTCAAATGAAATTCTGAAGCATACTTTTAACAGTTTTCCTGTGCACGCTTATTCCTTGTTAATGATGACCAGCTGTACTGTCTGTCATCTCCCCAGGAATACGAATATTTTTTATCCACCTGAAATGCATCTTAAGATCATAATGTTAAGTGAAATATATTAGAAATACAAGCTTAAATATCACATGGTTTCTATTTTATAAGAAAATCAAAATATAAAGGGTAACTTCATATTTATAACAAGCCTGCAGTTTTCTTGTACAGCTTTCTCAATGTGGAAAAATGACTAAGTTTTACTACTAATATAGGTTAAATAATTTGCATGCTTTTTCTTTCTTTGCAATAAGATTCATCCATGAAAAAGCTCCAGTATTTCTTGAAGTGCTATTGAAGAGATCTGTTTAGAAGGTCCTTTATACTCAGATATAGTACTTCTTACAATGTATGAGTGAAAATTATGATTCAGTAGTTAATGAAATGAGAAATTACTCTTCTACTAAGTTTGGATTTAAACTTTTTAAATTTCTTGGAACCTGACTTTGTGATTATGACTTTAATTTGGGAACTTTTTATTTTGTTTATAATTGATGCTTAGTTCTTTCTACTTAAATGGTAAGTTTGTTGGTAATGGAACAGCCTTGGGAAGCATAGAAGAGATTATTAACAGATTGAAATATCTATGAAATAGTCTGTTTTCAGCATTAGGGTGTTTATTTGTTCCCGTTCTGTTTTCCTAATGTGTGAGTTCACAGCTATGAATTTCCCTCTGAGAACTGCTTT